AGCTGTAATTAGCAGTGAGTGGGTGTGTAAGTGTTGGAGTGTTAGAGGGATGCGTGTGGGATATCCAGGGTGATCCAGTGTATGTGAACAGTGAGTTGTTTGGGCGCTGAAGTCGCCATAACTGATTGAGAGTGAACTCATATCTGAAGCCATATCTCTGAGTCTTGTGTGGGCGCATGTCGCCAGTATGCTGCGTTGCTGTTTACATGCATGAAAAGTGTGTTTGAAAACGAGTATGATTGCAAGTGGCCCTGACATATAACAAACCGCAACGCAAGGATAAATGAGCAATAGCGAAATGACAGAAATCCAGAATGCGAATTCACATTGAAGGCCAGGAAGTCCAACGCTGTCCAGAAATCAGACATGCACTGATGTTCCACCAAATGGAGAACCAAAGTACCGAATCCGAATGTCAATGAGAGTATACTCTCGCCACCACCAACTTATGTATCCAGAGCCCCTCCTACTTGGCACTCAGCGCCCAGACTACTACTACGCAGCTACTAGCAGCCTACGAATTGACAATGCATCCTGTTGATGTCAGCAGCAACAACCGAAGTGCATGAAGATGTCGACCTTGTAGACCATCGCCAAGACCAGGTACGTGCCCTCACATCATCATCCTTATCTCTCTCTCTCCCCCTCGTCTTCTCTTACACAAGTCTTCCCTCTCTTGCACGAAGACCACCACCACCAAGCCCCAGCCTGGCTACGTAGGCTGGGCTATGGCTCTGCCCTCAGCAGCGGCCTGTAGCTTGCACGTCCACACCCGCTCTTCCGCACTGGCGCTAGCAGCACGCGAGCGACCGCTCCAGCAGCGCTGCCGCCTGCTCTACAAAGTGCCCGAATGTCGAGCCCGGCACCCTGCCCTTTCCTATATGGAAAGTGGTGGGCGCTTAGCCTTGCTCCCCCATGTGAGACCGAATTTCCAGTCGCTTCAGTCTCGGCCAAAGTGCCTGCGCCCAGGAATGTTCAGACAGTGGCCAGGGCCCGAATTGGTTAGGCATGCCCAACCACCCACGCACATACCTGCAATGCTTCCTGCTTCCACCACGTCGCTGGAAGAGCCTGGAAGGCTCACAAATATTTTGGATTCTCACGAGCAAGGCGGATGTAACCAACTGGTGTGTGGCAACTGTCTGGCGCCGACCAAGATTTGCAAAAATTGCCGAGCTGAGGGCGCATTGAGATTCAGGGGGCCCGCCTTCACTTAAGAGCGGGCGCGCGCCTGCTGCAGGTCCCTATGCCGAGCCTTAAACCCTCGTAGCAAAAAAGAAAAGTGGAAAAAACTTTAAAAAAGACTGCAAGGAAAAAGTGCAATTGCTTGAATTTCATGCAAGTTTCACCAACAATCCAACTCCAGAAATTTTTAGAAATTTCAGAAATGTCAGCGGAGGAATCTCCAACGCTACAAAAGACACTAAAATTTGGCACACAGCAATCTTTACCCAAAACAGCAATAGGTCGGAAAACAAAAAAAGGTTAAAACAGTTAAAAACACATAAAATTAGACCCTCAAACCCTAATTTCAGCTTTGGACCTCTTAACCCAAGAGCTGAAAAGTGGGGATCCCAATTAACCATTTGTGCCTTTACCACGAAGGGGAGCGGGAAGCAAAGGAGGAGAGGGAAGCAAGAAAAAAAAAGGGCCGGACAACACAATGCACTTATGGAGCAAAACAAGCCAGATGCAGCCGAACAGCATGCAATACCATAAAGACCGACTGTTCATCGGACTTCGTACTCAGTTCATGACTTACCAGAGGGGCAGCAGCATAACTTGGATCGTGTAGCAAGTACACTGCTAGATAAAGAACCTGATCAAGGAAAGAAACAAAAGTCAGGAACCATAATTCTGTCAGCATGTCATTATGTCAAACCGACCCATAAGAGGAGGAAAAGGAGGGGGAGGAGAAGTCAGCGTAAGAGCGGGCAGGCAAGCGGGTAAACTAGCATCCGTGTATGTGCCCTCGTATTCGAATGACCAGTCAAGCCCCACGCCCAAACACCAGAAATCAATGAAATTACCCACACAACTTTGAACAGACGGCCACTGTGCTCACTCTAGCATAAGTGCACACCCCATCCCCCATAGCGTTGCTCCTATACCGTTGCTCACTCTACCAGAAATACACACACAACCTGGACAAACAGGGATTGCAAGCTCGATTGATGCAGAGCGGCATAGTGCGAGGATTTGACCCCTCGGCAGTGCTGGGAAAGGCCTTGCCCGCCCTAAGTGAAGGTGGGCCTGTCAATATGTGCCAAGGCCTGGGTACAGGCCAGTGTGATCACCCTGAAGAGGTCGTATATGTGCGCGGAATGAGCCTTCACGGGGCCCTTGACAGACATGCACATGCTCTGGGCAGAGGTCCTCAGCAAGCCCTGTGGCCGCCCTGAGTGAAGGCAGGCCTGAATATTCACAAGAGGCCAAGATTTGACGTTTTTCATATTTGCGTATCAGACAGTTGCAGCATGCCAGTTGGTTACAGAGCAACGTGAGCCTCTCCAGGCTCTTTCCGGAAATTGCAGCCTCAACGGGCAGTTGAGCCCAGGGCCCCATACAGTTAAGGCCCTGGGTGTGTGCTTTCAGAGGCCGACACATACATACAACAGCCATGGACCAATGAGATTGCAGCATTGTCGGCACAAAGTGGCCGTGAGCCAATGAGATCACAGCGAACATGCGGAGGCCCGTGGACTGCCTGGACGTGCCCAACTGTAAAGGGCCCAGGCCCGTAACTGCAACTGGGCCTGCACGCAGGCACTGAGGCCCTTCTGGAAGCTACCGGATGCTCGCCCAGCCAGGCCCAGAGGCAGCAGAGGCTGAGCTCACTTTCCATATAGGAAAGTGAGCATCCCTGGGGAAGTCATTCTGGCCTAGGCAGGCAATGCGGTCACGCTGCTGCATTGCACCTTTGTGATCTGCACGAAGCTGCCGGCTGGGTCGCACACACGGGCGTTGAGGTGCACTGCTCGTCAGTGGGCGCACGGCAGCCATAGCCGGGCTGTTGGGCGTAGGTCTGGATGGCGATGGTGGTCTTTGGGTGTTGAGAATGCACACTGTGGGAAGTCAGGGATGACGAGTAGAGACGAGATACATACCTGGTGCATGAGGGAGGCCAGCTATGGTGTTGACGTCATGTACATTGGTCTTCAAGGTCAACGGGAGCCTGTTGCGTGAACGCTGTTGTAGTAGGATAGGCGAGCAGTGTAGGCTGGGCGCTGGGCGCCAGACAGAGTAGGAGTGACGTTGGATACGGTGTTGGTGTGGCCTGAGGGCTTGGACATTGGCTCGTGAGTTCATTGTATTGCTCTTATCTGGATGGAATCTCGGTGCATTTGCACTCTTCGCTCGCACATGACTACTTGGACATCTGTGTGATATCGCAACTTGATTTTCTGTATATCGCTCTTGCTCATATTCCTTGCAATAGATTTAACGATACACAAATGTGCACCTGTTCTAAGCATATCAACAAATGAAACACAGCTACCAGAAACCTGCTAATAAAAAAAAGTGAGTGTGCAATGAGCCCAACTCTTGAAGCTCATACCATCAACAAATTTCACACATGAAGTCGACACAAGACAAATCAGCGAGCAACCGGATTACGAGGATGAAGAAGGAGACAAAGAGAATGATAACAGTTTTCAAAAACTTAATTTCCGCACACATCTATTGCAATCAGACTTGACTCTGGACTTGCTCACAACATGCACACATGAGAACCGATGGCAAACCAAACTCGTGAACTCAGAATCAACAACGAACTTGCTCTTAAACTCCGTTCAGAACAACTGTACATCTTGCGGCTATGGCCGCCGAACACCGTCTCTATCACCAGCCTCACTCTTCCTCACCCTCGCATGCACGCACGTACGAGGATCACCCTGAATGTCCACGCTGCACAGACACACACACTCTGTACACCCTGTCTGCACCAACAGCTGGGCGGCTATGCCCGCCGTCGTCTTCCTCCTCCTAGCTATGGCCGCCGGTGTCTCTCTCTCGCTGGTTCGCTATGGCCGCTGTCTTCTTCACAGCCCACTTCTTCTCCGGGCACCTGCAGTCCTCCACGCACAAGATACCAAGGCAGCTCTTCCGCATGGCACACAGGCGAATGAACGAATGGCTCGACGCTGCCTCTTTATTTATACTTCTTCGGAGGTACCCAGGCCTGCCTCAAAACGTGTGGGCCTGGGCCAAAACGTGTGGCCCAGGGAAGCTTCCAGACGTTTGGCCTTCTTTGCCAAAACTTGTGGAACCCGCAGCGGGGTCCAGAACCTTCCCCACATGAAGCCGCCCCTACCCCTGGTACTTGCTGACTGGACTGGCCTACAGGGACCTACGACCATCTAGAGCCTACAGACTTACAGACAGACTCTAGGCCTCAGAAGACTGAGATAGAGACTTCTAGAACAGACCTTCCTAAGCCTAACTGTAACAGACCATATCCTAATCTACTGCTACATGCCCATTTGGCGATGTACATATATAACCAAGGATCTGCAATGTGATGAAAAGGACTGAATGGACAATGCAGTGCTTATAGAATCTCAACAAGCAATGTACTCCCTGATACATACAAAACGGTGCTTTATAGCGCAGTGGAAGACTTGGATACAACTCCTGACCTGACCGGGATTGACCTCCCTCACGTAGTACAAGACAGCACAGCAGAATGCTAGAATACCAATGACGAGCCCAATCAATGTTGCAATGCAGACTAAACATACATCATCTTCATCACAAGGTGTGAAGGAGG